GTCCATAAACAAAATGTGTACCAACTTCGCTTGAGGTGTTAAAATTCTTGCGAATTAATCCAATGTACAGTATTAAATGTATGCTGGCCTTAAAATGGAATTTTATTATAAATAAATACAGATATTATTTGTTTTAACATCTATAACAATATTGTATGACCAAAGATGTCCATAGAAAAAATAAAAGTAGTCATTACGTATGACAATATTGTGTAATGTTGGAATATATTTCAAATAAATTAATGCTAACTAATATGAGAGTTTTATTCTGTTTCTGTCTGTACCCAATCCACAGAATGTATTTTGATACAAAGGAATTGAATTCAGTTTTTAAAGCATTAGTTTTCCTTTCTGTTAAACTGGGAGCAATAGAAAAACATAGATCATGTAGGCTTCAAACTTTGCCTTGCAGATACAAAAACTTCTAGTAAAACCACAGGGAGTGGTAACAAAGGTATAAACGAACGAGACTCCTTCCCGCTCATTTCATCAGCTCCATGGCTCGGCAAAATGAGTGGAGGCCTATTGGTAAAAAAATATATAATACACCTGCACCTGACACACATTTTACAGGTCGACTCACAGCGGAATGGCAGCGAATACGTGGCGGCGAGCACTTGCAGTGTAAAATAATTTTATCAACATACTAATAAGATCAGTCCCTGCAGCATGAGCACCACAATTTATATTATATCACGTTTTTTATCGCGTCTAACTGTCAAACTCCATATTAAATTAATATGGAGCATGGACAATTGAGCATGATAAAAACGAGCTATATATCATATCGCGGTGCTCATACAAAGAACGGCATCTCACGCGACAAGAACACTGTTCGCCGCGGCGCCGCCTCGGCTTCGCTGCTATTTTTGTGTGAATCGGCCCCTTAGAAACACACACGCACACGTCTGAATGTAAACATTTGATCCAGCGAGCGAGATAGAACTTTACGCTTCAACACAATGCGAGCTAAACGGCGAGTCCGCTTCCGAGCTGAGAGTGCGGCTGAGCTGTATTGTTGTCCTTTTCTTGATAACAAAATGGCGATTACGCGAATAACATGCACGACAAACCGTGATTTTTGAGAAAAAAATGTTTTAAGCTTTACGAATGAAAAGTGTTGCCTAGGCATTTATTATTTGATTTTGAAGTATTTGTGTTCTTCATATAAGCATCGAAGGCATTGTTTTATCTGTAAAACACAGAATATACGCAATATTGAGTGCACATGCACCGTGTTTGAATGTCCAATTGTGACTAAAGCGAATTGTGGTCATGCACCACAATTTTATTGTAATTCGCTTTTTGTTGTTATTTAAGAATTTATTATTGCTATGTGAAATTGATGGCTTAATGTAAATTAATAATATTAATGTAATTAATGCATTGTTAAATTCTTGAATGCCATTGTAAATGGCAGAATGGGCCGAACTTTGTATTTATAACATCTCCCCTGTACCCCTATTCTAATGCAAATAAAGAAATTCTAATTCTAAACGGATCACTTTTGAGCCGCGAGTGCCATATCTTCTTGTTTGAATATAAGATTGGCCCTAAGGGCTTATGTATCCAGAATGTGTACAGGGAGTACGGGCCGTAATTGTGGCACCTCTTTGGCAGTTCCAAAGAGATGCCACATATCAACCAAGGTGTTGAAGCAGGTTGCATGGGATATCTCAGAAGCCACTAGAATGCCACAGTATGCCAAAAGTCCTTGACAGCATTGCATTTCAACAGTGTGCTCTGCTCTGGTGGCAAAATCTTTCACCATGCCATCCCAGTAGATTTACAGAATCCATAGAGTTCAATACTAAATCTATATCTTTGTCACAGAAGCCTACCCAATACATACTTGTCCCTGTAGCATGAGTACCAATATTTACATTATATCACGTTTTGTATCGCGTCTCACTGTCAAACCCTATAGTTATTTGACAATTGGACGTAGTTACGCGAAAACGTTCCAACCCACAAGTCACTCGAAAATGAGTTACCATAACCAGGGTACTATTTTTGCCATATTACATCATGTGCACACAAAGATGCTAGTATTTTTAAGTTAGTTTCATCAATAAAGTTTAACCCAAATGTTCCAACCCACCATTATGCCAAGGACGTGTACTCAAAATAAAGTAAAAACATTACATGCATACTGAAACATATTGTTAAAAACTCTTAATAGAATAACATATCGTTATAATGTTCCACTTGTCTTGGAACATTATACTAAATTCATAAAACGCACATTTAATGGTTTCTTAAATGATCCATGTGGGTTGGAACGTTTTTGCAAAATCTTTATACATTTTTTATTTCTGCAAAAATGTTCCATGTAATTTGAAACCCTTTAGATTAATCCATACTGTTTTTTTAAGCTGCGAACACTGTTCTAAATAAATTGAAACCTTTTATTATAATATATTATTTTCATATTTTTTGCTATAAACAATCCACATATACTTGATCCATTTTTGCTATTAAATATGTTCTAGAGAAAAAGATATTTTTTACCAAAATAAATAACTATGGTATATTTGGACGTAGTAACGCGAAAATGTTCCAACCCACAGCAACCCCAATTTGCAATTTACACACTTTTTCCCTGTAATTATTTCAGGCAAATACTATTGGTTTAACTATGGAATGCCAAACTGATTATTGAATGATATGCATATTTTTTGTAAATACATAATACAAGGGGCATATAAATAGGTAAAACGAGTTTGAAATGTTTTTGCTAAATTAATTTTGTATGAACCTTGTTAAATAGCAATTATGCATAAACTTTCCAAAACGAATTTAAGTGTATTATTTTATAAAAATAAACCAAAAAGAAATATGTAAAATAATAAATAACAATGAGGAACATACAAAAACAACAAAAAAATATATTTGAAAATGTATTACAAAAAAATAGAACGTGATCTTTTGAGCTTAGAACCTATGCCAAAAATTTGTTGATATGGTTCCAAAAGTTATCAAAAACTTATATTATAAACATTCAATTTTCATCATCGTATTCTATGATCTCGAAGTCCGGAACTCCACCAAACCCATCAACATCATCAGTGCTTCTTCAGAACTTTGAAGCGTTCTATAAAATTGAAGGCAATCCTCGGGTATGTAGTGGTACATGGATTGTAAGTCCACTAATTTCGCTGGAGCAATCGGTTTGTCGTTAGGCCACAATAAGCAAAAATCAGATTCTTTTATGTATTGCAGTTCTCGTTTTATTCTTTTATCAATTTTCAACTCATTGAAATCGTCTTCCATCGTAGACCGCATAAAAATAGAAAACATTTTATCTTTATCCAACTTAATTTCTTTTGTATGTAGCCAACTAACTTTAGATGAGTCTGTAAACTTCTTCCTATTGATAATCTTCTTTTCCAGTTTAGTTGTACTAAAAAAATCAGTCTTTGTCATTTTGTAAACTTGAAGAGGTTTAACTTTTTTACTTAGTTCTACAATAGTGGTATCCATAGTGCATTTAATGATACTGGGCATTGTTATGTATTGGTAGAAGGAGAGGTAGAAGAGGTGCACAGGAAGTGGATTGCCTTCGATTTTATAGAACGCTTCAAAGTTCTGAAGAAGCACTGATGATGTTGATGGGTTTGGTGGAGTTCCGGACTTCGAGATCATAGAATACGATGATGAAAATTGAATGTTTATAATATAAGTTTTTGATAACTTTTGGAACCATATCAGCAAATTGGCATAGGTTCTAAGCTCAAAAGATCACGTTCTATTTTTTTTGTAATACATTTTCAATTTTTTTTTGTTGTTATTGTATGTTCTTCATTGTTATTTATTATTTTACATATTTATTTTAGATATATTTATAAAATAATACACTTAAATTCGTTCTGGAACGTTTATGCACAATTGCTATTTAACAAGGTTCATACAAAATTAAATTTAGCGAAAACGTTTCAAACTCGTTTTACCTATTTATATGCCCCTTGTATTATGTATTTACAAAAAATATGCATATCATTCAATAACCAGTTTGGCATTCCACAGTAACACCAATAGTATTTGCCTGAAATAATTACAGGGAAAAAGTGTACCGCTAAAACACAAAATTGCGTTTATCTCAAAATGGGGTCGCTGTGGGTTGGAACGTTTTCGCGTAACTACGTCCAATTAAGCATGACAAAGATGGGTTTTATATCCTATTGCAGTGCTCATGCTAATAAGCACGATTACACAGAGACCACATCGTTTTTTTCTATAATTATGTTTTATAGTATTAATTACCAATTGTGTTATATTGTAAAGTTCCACCTTCAGGTATGGGAAACTCAATTTCCAGTCATAGTTCAATGTTCAAAATAAATGATTTTTTTATTCACAATTAACAGTTGTTGTAGATTCATGATAAAAAAACAACATGTAATTATGTTAATGATGATATTTTATTTATGCTAATGCTAAGTTGCAGTGAACATGACATATTAACAAACATTGTTTTAGAAAGAGCACTGTATGATAGGACACAATTGACTTTTTGGTAACAGTTCTAGTTATATGAAAATGACTTAGTTATAAAATTGTCCAGAAACAAGATTAAAATATTCAATAATACAAAAATTTAAATAAAACAACAAAATTTATAAAAACATATGAAAACCCAATATGAATTCATGGTGCAAAAATAAGCAGATTGGATTATGTTGCCATTGTATTAATAAAGCGTATCAACAAATCAATTAATACAATTTCCCTTTCCAAGTAACATTCAACAAAATAATGAACTACACCAAGTAACTGTGACTTACTGAAGCAACTAGAAAATTTGGAAAATACTTACACCTACCATAATGTTATGATGAACAGTAAAAAATTTAGATCAAACTTGGGATGAGGTTGACATAGTTAAAACAATGTCTAGAGCTAAATATTATTGTATCTTTACCGACATTCAAGTCATTGAGACAATAAATTACAAATACAAAACAATAGCTTTAACTATCATTAGAAGAGTTAATGTCATATCCTGTACAAGTAGATACTAGATTATTCAATACATGATTCAAAAATGCAATATGCATTAGAATCTTTTTGATAAAAGTGCAAGTATTAAATCATGGAAGTTTTATGTACAACACTGAATGAGCCGAGAGTTCCAGAATAATCAGTCATTTTTATTCATTTTATGGCCTCATACATTTACACCCATTACTTATTGAGTAACTCATTAATGTCTTATTTTATTCAAACCATTTAACCAAGTGACTAAACGCTTAAAACACATTTTATCACTTGCTTGTTCCACTATAACAACCGAGTAGAGGCTTTTGAAGTAACTGTTGGGGTTCATAATTGACCTCAATCATGTCCATTTGTTTTAGCATGTGAAACAGTACCATTGAGTAGAGGTGCAGCGGTGCTAGTTTCTCTGATCGTCTTCTGCAACACGTGGGCATCGGCCGGTTCTATTCTCTTATAGTAATGTTCTTTTGTTTCAACAATTTCAAAACCAAATTTCTTGTAAAAGTCTATTGCACCCTCATTATTGACTTGCACATGTCTGAAATAAATGATATGGTTGGTTAGATAATGAATAAATCTAACTTCTTTAATAAACATAATAAAAAGGTTAAGATTCTGTTTTAAGACAAAGGAATCATATTAAAGTAATGTATGAATTTGTTTCATTATTGGAAATAATTACCATTAGACTAACATAATTATTAAGGACTTTGGTTACAGTATTTTATTGACAGATCGAAAGACCAAAGATTATAACTAATTTTAATAATAGTGCCTACAGTATCAAAAATCCAATAATACTAAATTTTTCATAGAATTTGAATGACAAAGATGCACATAACCTTGAATGTAAAGTGATAGTTCCTGCAATCAATATCTAACTGTTTTATTACCATTAATGATATAAAACTAGACTAGAATTATAATGAATATGATAAACCAAATACGATGAGTATAATGACTTACAGGAAAATGCTGTCGAAATTTCCGTCTTGTTCAACATACTTGAGCACATGTTCCACCATCAAAGTACCAATACCCAATCTTCTGTACGGGTACAAACAACCCAAAGTCATTATATATAGCCTCCGTGAGTTCTCTGACGTGTCTATCCTACAGCATACTGCACCAACTACGATGTCATTGTAATATGCTAGTTTCGCAAGTTCACCAGCTTCCAAAACGTCTTTGTAAAACTTGTCGTTGTAAGACACTGGGAATACGACTGTATTTAACTTTTTTAACTGTTTTATATTATGCGGTGTCACGTCGCCAAGTTCTATTTTAGCTCTGAAAACGTGAAGACATTTTTATGATTTAATTTCGCCTGAACATCAATGGTCATGGAGTGCCTGATGGAATTAAGATTTTTTTCAAATTACACTTCTTTATGCTGTGAAAGATGCCTTCTTACCACTTGTACACATAACTTACCTAGTCATTTTAATAACTATTCTATGTTTATCACTACAATTTTAAAACTAATCTAACCATCTAACACAGTTATATCACACGAGATCAATCCCGCCATCTGCCACTAGTGGTCGCTTTTTTCGGAATTAAATTTGACAGTTTTCATAATATTACCACCCCTAATAATTATTGTTTAACGTAAATATTGACACATAGTAAATATCAATATCCTATCAATATTTATTCAATATCTGAGAAAGCAAGTTTCGGTGCAGATGTTAAGATTTGCGTTCGTTCACCAAACTTTTCAACTACTAAAGGTGAAGTTTAGGTTCACAACTATCTCATTAACAAATACTTCTTTTTTAGGCAATTTGTCTAGGCTCTTGGTAGTTCTTAAGTATTGGAGCGATTAAAACATCGCTTAATAAGCTTATCTGTGAATTGAACAATAGATTTGAAATAGTTTTTAGTTTAATTTTTCAATGCCCTCTCTTTAAAGGAAGTACCCTCAGGAAACTACTACATTCAACAAAAATATCACATATGGCAACTCCGTAATTATTTTATTTTTTTGGTTAATTTGTCCCTGTTGGGACGGGCAAAGGATTCTGAGTCCATACAGCCCTTTTTATTTTATTTTTTCTAATATCAACGCAAAAAAATACTACAGTTCATTAATCCTCATACCAATTTTGTTTTTGTTTACATTTGAAGATATATAACATGATGTGTTTGTTCTGTTGTGGCTATCAAACTGTATCGGGCTAACCCTCTATGCATCTGCCACTTCTGACAGCAAAAAACATAAAATGAACTTTCATTCATAACAAGACAAAGTAAGGTGACAAGGGTTCTTCGAAAACTATAATTTTTAACTAGTACGCACTCAGTTACTCGTTCTGTTATTTAATACATCCATGCGGTAATGTATCTCTTTTGTGCTTTGTATAATAAAAAATCAATGGTAAATCCATAGACAAACACTATGGACGCGCGGATTTCCGTTTGCCGTTTCGTTTCCTCCTTAATTAAGTTTTTGATATTATTAAAGCTGATCTAAATTTAAATAATAGTTAATAAGTATATTAAATCACTAGTTAATTTGTAAAATATGAATTGAAAATATGTATTGATTCTTAAAAAACAAAATGTATACAAAATAAATTTAATTAGTACTTATCTTGAATACTTAGAATGCAAGACCGCCAAATTCAAAACAAAATAGGTTTTATTCCATGTATTCGTTTTTTACGTCAGTCACCAATCGTCATTTCTCGAAAAGGGAAAATTCAATTTCAATCAATCAAAAGAAACGTAATAAAATGTTACTAAATCAACTGCGATTCGTTAGAGGTCATCTGCATTTCAAAGGCTGGAGATGTTTTAGTTTGGAGCAAGTCCGTTATCAAATTTCACCGCAACCACAATTAAATGAGTGCCCAAAAGTTGAGTCCACTACGCCACTAAAGAACGAAGCAGAAGGGCGCACTGATAAAGAGGTTTTAAACGAAATATTCCCAGCACCGAAAGTTGTTCCGATGGTTCTGACCACCAATAAAGAACCAGTGGTTTTATCATTCGACGACGTTCCAGGCCCAAAGACTTTAAAATATTTGTCAAGCATTCGTCAATATTTGTCTGATATTGGGACACAAATAACAGCGAGCATGCTTACTGTGGGATTAGACATAGGTAATATCCATAGTACCTGTAAAAGTAAATTAAATTTGCTATAGATTTAATAAGTCTATCGGTCTTGGGCAGTTGGCCAGAAAACCTAAGTAGGGACTTTCGAAAATTATATTCGGTATAGAACTGGAAAGACAACTGAGTCATTTCGCATGTAATTTTCTTAGCGAAATTAGTAGATAAGTATGGCATTCAACGATATTAAATACCCTAGATACACCACTTGCGCTCAAAATGTGTCCCAATCAAGAAGTGCTTGAACACCACTCGAGCACTTCTTGGTTCAGTCACGCGCGGACCGTTGAAAAGTCAAGTTACCGCAGAGCTCCGTGAAAAAAATATTAAAGTATTTATAATATCGTTGACGGCGTTGTTAAGTAGTTACAAAGTAACAAGTAGCAAATGAGCCTTTAGAAATTAAAAAAAGATGTACCTACATCCTACATTAGGAAAGGTAAACACAAACACGTCCAAGAGATGTACATTTTAAACATTTCAAAGGCAAAACTTCGGACCATTTTTGTAACTTACATTTTTAATACTGGTTTAATACACAAGAGCTTTATGGAGCAAGTGATTAGCTCGTTCGGCGGCAATCGTTAAGTTAAGCAACTTTTTGAGTTGTCGATCATCGGATGGGTGGCCTAAAATTTATTATCTCGAGTTCCTCTAGTCGTTAGCACCCACCAATCTGCACTGGGCCCGCGTGGTGTGTCACGGCCCAGTCTCCCTATTCCATCCATAGGGAAGGCCTGTGCCCCAGCAGTGGGGTCATAACTAGGCTGATGATGATGAGGATAGTGGTTTCTCTAATATCCTAACACACTATACCCTTGCCCTAGGTACCTTCATAAACAGTAGGAAGTCATTCAAGACTCTATCAGTGTTGTTCGACGAGTACGGCCCCGTGGTTCGGTTCGTCAGCCCCGTAGGAGGGGACATCGTGCTGGTGAACCACCCCGCACACATCGAGAAGGTGTACAATATGGAGGGCGACTACCCCGTGCGTTCTACCCTCGACTCGCTGGACAAATACAGGACCGAACACAGAAATCAGTTCTATGGAGGCTTGTATACCCTGTAAGTAATAATTTCTTGTGTGATCTGATCTGCCATTTTACTGGCGTGTAGTGCACCAATGAGGTGCGTTCGGCTCCGGAATGTATTTTTTGGTGAAGGGCCCAAAACATACAAATCTTCCTTCTTTAAAATATTAGTATAGTATAGATGAGATATAGATCGATCGATCGATTCTAGTCCGCTCTGAAGTTGTTTCGCGCAGATGTACAGCCCTAAACACAACCTTCGTCCCTTTAAATACGAGCTACGACGCGAATTGTGCAGTGTTCAGAGCGGACTAGAAGATTGGCGCTATCTATACCTATTTTGATACGCCCCAGGCACAGCGGTGACACTCTGTGTACGTGAGAGTTCCAGCGCCAGTGACCTTGCAGGAGCGTGTATGCGCTAGGGTTGAACTTGGAATTTAGACTTGTGCCAATGAATATTTATGCATAGTAAGTTATTAAATGTAAACTGATTCAAGGATACTGGGGTAAATAATGAAGGATAGGTTTAATCTTTTAATGTAGATACTATAACAAATTGCTAGCTTTTATATATTTTCTCCTTTTTCGATTCGTTTTATAATTCTTATTATTATCTAAATAATAATAAGATTGCGTAGCGTAGTCAGTCTGTGCGTGCAATGCAGTGCAACGCTATTATTTTACTATTTCGCTACTGCCATCCCTTCGGTCGAGGCAGTCGGCGACTGCCCTCTCCACGTCCCGCGCGCCGCGCAACGCCCCCGCGCACCTCCAGACACCCACACATAGCCGCGGGCGATTTTACGAGCACACATGCTTAAGTGTCGCTTCTTTTCGCGTAGTGTATATATTCTGTGCCCCAGGGCCGTAGGTGAGGGGACGCTGCATAGTTTCCAATATTTTGATTAATGCGCCACGCGTGGTAAGAAAAAGAAAATAAATACTTTAATTTCAGCGGAATTTTGTAAACGGCGATTGGATTGTCTATCAAATGTTATCATATTATAAAGTGACAAGACATTATACATTTTGCCTTCGGCATATTTTAAAACAGCGAACGTTTTTAAATTGACGACGCCGTTTGTGAAACGCGGAAACATACAAATTGTCTGCGACATAATGCCGCGAGCGCGCTAGTTTGCTACTTATACCGCACGTGCGTTTCCTACGTGAACACTTGGATATTACGTCATCAAATTCCCTAAATCAAATGTTTTATTTTAAAGCTAGAGCATGTTCAATACATAATAGTCGATAAATAAGATTGAAATGGGTAAAATTATTCATTAAATTATTAACACCTACCTATATGCGAATTAAAATCACAAAATTATATACCTACCCACCTACCTCCAACTTGTACTGGAACTGGCATGCATGTATTGGTCCATAGTGGGAAGAGGGAAATACATTTTCTACAATTTTGCTCTTTTCACTCATACAACATGTGAGAGGGTGCAACTAGCTGTTTTACTATGGAAGTTTGCTTCTCTCGGAATGTGCAATGACAAGTGAAACAGGAAAAAAATTGTTGCCGGCTTCTATCTAAAAGACAAAAAAGAAATTCGGTCCCCAAAGGAGATTGCTCAGCTTCCATACATGTTTGGCCTAAAGACCAATAATCATGAAAAATTGTTTCTTATATTCGAAATTATATATAAATTACTGTAGAAATGAACATTATTGTCGGACACCCCTGAGAACTTCTATAAACCATATACACTGAACATATTAAAATAATAAAAAACAAATAAGTTATATAGTAAACTAAGGAAATCAAGCCAAGTACCGAAATTATGGATTAGATTCAGGTATATAGAGCATGTAGATTAACAGATAGTTGCCTGTTTTTTAAGTTAATGCATAAGAGTAACTTTTAAAATCAGGTGTCATTTCCGGTTATAACAAGGTACTCTGTGACAGAAACTATGTGATGATTGTGAATGAGCCACAGATTAGAGAGAATTTTTAAACTCTCGTTAACCAAAGAAAGCTAAGAGATTTAGGTTCTATAGCCATATATTCAGGAGCTTCGTTATTTTTGTTATGTTTTTAAGATAACCATATTTTAGATTTTTAGTGTATCACACCTTATAATTTTATTTATTAATTAATTTATAGTCAGGGAACGTAGGCCCACAGATAGATACCTTAAAGTCTAACATATATACAGATTATAATATGTATAGGGAGGTGTTTGGCGAAAAATGTATGGCAATAGACTTTATGATGTCGCCTACCATCTATAATAATTGTCTGAGCACATTTGCATCTAGTGAAAATGATAATATAGCTGTGGATATTAATATCACAGCGTAATAAAAAAGATGGCGCGTAACGGAAAAATGTGACGCGTAACCGAATAAATGTGACGGTAAATTTTTTTCCAACGCCGATAAAGAAGTTTCACTTCAAAAAAAGAATTATTTTATCGATCTTTACAAAATAGATGTGTTTTTATGTTATATAAACAACTTCGATCAGTCTTTGGCTTAATGTTACTACACCCATAGCAATTCAAAATGATTTGTATGTTTTCCAAACCGGTAAAATTACAAGTCCTTTTTAAAGTAAATATATTATCCAAAGGTGTCCGTTGAAATCTAATGACTGTAAATTAAATTGTAAATTACGCCAAGAATTACCGTGTATGTCAATATTTTTTGTGCATTTAGGCCAATTTGAGCAATCTCCTTTGCCGGCCTAGTCTCAAATCTACTCAGCCTGTTGGTAAATCCTCCATTGAGCACTTTGACCGCAGTCGTGGAATGCTGTTGGGTCGATAACGACAGAAAAGTTCTGCTCACCCCAAATCCGAGTGGATAGTTTGCTGCCATGTTTTTCATATTTCATTTTATGTTTTCTAATTTTTGTCACACCATACCCACCAAACACCATGCATAGATTTCGCTCTACATGTACCACATAGATCGCTCAACTCAACAATGCAGTATTGACTCAATCTGAACTGAAAACACCAAACTTGTGATGTGACTCAACGTATGTAACTCAATATGCAACAAAGTTTAGTCCCCGTAGCATGAGCAGTGCTCATTGAGCACTACAATTTACTTTACATAATAAGTTTTTGATTTATTTAATTAAATATGAAAGTACTTGATAGTATCTTATTTAATTGATTTGCTGTTTTGTTTTTATTGTAATGTAATATAATTTCATTAATGTAATATATTTAAATCACTTGTAAATAATTTTATCTTATTTATAGTATTCAATTTGTTTTTATTTAATTGTATTTAATTTAATGCAATGTAACGGTTAATATCGATATATTGTCCTTTGTTTTATTTATCGTATTTTTTTGTGTATGCATGTTAAGTGTTGCAATCTTGATCGATTCCTCAGTTATTAATAAGTTTGTACTTTGTTGATTGTAACATGTTATGTATACCGAATAAATAAAATATACCTATCACGTTTATTATCGCGTCGTCTTATTGTCAAACTTCATAGTAAGTAATTTAACAATTGTGCGTGATAAAAAGGAGCTATTTCATATGGCGGTACTAATGCTAGGGGGCTAGCTATGCTGGGTTACCTGCACACTTCATTCAAATCCCTCTTTATAATATTCTTAGACAAGGTGAAGAGTGGTCTCGCCAAAGGGAGAGGATCTACGAACCCATGCACAAGGCGGTCGACTTGCACCTGCACGGCCTCAACGACGTCTGCGATAACTTCATCAAGAAGGTGTACACCATCAGGAACCACCAGGATGAGGTGGCGAAGGATTTGTACACGGAACTACATAAATGGGCGTTTGATTGCCTTGGTAAGTAAATAGGTACCTACGAGTAATGGACATCAGGGGTTACTCTAGGGTCATGGCTTTAGGCCGCAGGCTGCGAGGGGCGGCAAAAGCATATAAAGGCATTCGTTACTGACCTATATTTTTATGAAATATACCTACTTATCTGGGGGGCGCAAATCGTACATGGCCCGGGGTGCCATATTTCATAATACGCCCCTGCTAGGTATGACGTTGAGAGTTAATGTTTGGTTTGCTTCAGACAACAAAGTAGTTTTGTATCAAGTTTCTTTCAAGGTTTTTGGACAGCCAGTCAGTCGCTTCCGAAATACGAAGTAGGTACTTTGTCTGATGTATAATATATACCTCAAGAAAGGTTATAAAAGACGGGCCAAGAATTTATTGACTCGACAACTTCCTGATTCGGAAATCATGTTTAGCCTTTAGCCCCAGCTGTATCTGCAGTTAACACCCAACAATTCACCGATCTACACTGGACTTTCGTAGTGGGCTTTTGCTTCTTCTCTCTACCCCATCAATCTGGAAGGTCTATGCCCTACTGTTGTATTGCTAATCTGTAATCGTGTATGGTTTGTAACTGTTGTAATAAAGGTGTCGGCTGTAAAATAAGAAGTGTGGTTTTAATCAACTTACATAAAATTATATAAAAGACAAAAAAAAACACTTTTTTTTTAAGATGCAGATAAATATATTTATACATCTTTTATGTATGTGTTAAACAGACCTACAATTTATATCTATATATATAAAACTCAAAAGGTGTCTGACTGACAGTGATCTATCAACGCACAGCCCAAACCACTGGACGGATCGGGCTGAAATTTGGCATGCAGGTAGATGTTATGACGTAGGCATCCGCTAAGAAAGGATTTTGATCAATTTAACCCCCAAGGGGATAAAATAGGGAATGAAAGTTTGTATGAAACTTTGTCAATTTTAAACCGACCGGGCTGAGACTTTGCATGCAAGTACCTATAAGAAGAATCATAGATGAATGTCATCGTGTATAATACAAGCCTGAGAACAAAAACTGTAGTCTACACTTCAGCTCTACACCGAAGCGAAGCGAGGGCGGGCCGCTAGTTAATTATATGAAAGCTAAATCTTAACGATTTTCGGGCTTTACCTTTGCCAATTTGTATTGATAATCTTAACGACGGAGCTCTTATTCTAGGACTAATAGTGTTCTCGAAAAAGTTCACAATGTTGGAAACGGAACTGGTGTACAGTCAGTGCGACATGTCGTGGCTTTATCACTGCCTGCAGAAGGCCACGGAAGCCATCATAAAGTGCGAATCTGGCCTGCAAATGTGGAAGATATTCACGACCCCCGCCTGGCACTCTCTCGTGAAGTATTGCGATAGTTTGGACAGGTGAGCTTATCTAATATTAACAAACTTAGTCACTACGTGGGTACTGTGACGATGTTATTTGCGTTTATTTCTCAATCTCTAGATAACTGTTATTATATCTTCAGCAATTAACAAATATTAATCTTTATTCATGTACTACTAAAGTACGGCCAACGAGAAGCGATACAAAATGCAAACATAGTCGATGAAAGGTCATTGACCAATGCGGGGATTGCAAAATTTTACAAAATGACATTTTATTTATAAAAATTATTCTAGGACGTTTATCACTTTAAAATGCATGTAAAAGAAATAGGAAAAGGCAAAACACCATCTCGTCGTCTTTGGGTTTATTTTTCTAAGTGACATAAAACAAAGGTACAAAATTACAGGTCTTTTATGTGTAAATGTAACAGGAGTAAAGTAAAAGAGTACATAACAAGGCATATATTTAAATAGTGTGGTGTAGAAAACTATTATATGAATGATCATAATTATCAAAACAGAAAGTCACAACAGTTCAAAAAATATTTATAACCACCAGAAGTAGTATCAGGAAGACAGGAAACTAAATGAAAATGTCATTTTTTTACTGTAAATGGACACCCGAATGTTGGCGATCTCGGCAGGGATAGAACGACACCTAATATCGTATATATGAGATGTAAGAGTTATTAGACTATCAGTTCCATAGTCTCGTATAAGGTGAATGAACTTGTGCATCGCTTCTCGTTGGCCGTACTTTAGAAGTCTTACTTGAGTACGATGACTGAAATTGCCTACCAGTTGCCTTTGAAATACACTTAAAGCTATGTAACAAAAACATCATATCATCATCATCATTTCAGCCGAACGACATCCATTTGGGCTCCCCAACTTTCTCTAAAACTTAGATGATGTACTTTTGTAGTAACTAGTAACTGTCGACCCATCTCTGAACCGATTTGGACCATTGATGGACCAACATAAGAGACAGTTTAAAAAAAATGGGTGCATGTACTTATGTAGGCGCGTGAGAAGTTATCCTTCTTTGGCATCGTTTAAAATTAGTTTTTAATTGCATGCAAATAATTAATTACAATAAATTAATAAAAAGTCTGGAAAAGGACACAGTCAATAAAGTTCAGTTTTAATTTGAAAAAATAAATAAATAATCAAAATATTCAATTAAAATCGCTACTGAATATAATTTATTAGAACATATGTGATTTGCACTTGTATGAAACTCAAACACGTATTCCGAATATACAAACTAGAAACATGAGGATAAATATTATAAATATGAATACCTATAACTGTTACTTTATTACAAAAAATAAAGATGTGGTTTTTGGTTCTACTACACCAATGGTCAAGAGATGGCGCTGTAGTCTCCTGAATCGCGCTTTGGTTCCGTTGTTCCAGATTAATAAATACTTTTGATAGGCCTTCACAATGCAGTCGTTAGCACCCACTAAATAGAGATTCTATTTCTATTTTGTTGGTAGATTTTCTTAATGTGCGGTAAACACAAAAGTAACGCATGAAGTTGGTCGCTGTTAAAATTTTGTGTTACAGTGATGCGCGCGCATCTTAAAATTTCACTCTCATCATTTTTTCATAACGCGCCTAAAGTATAACTTCAATAATAAATTATTCACAACATTTCAGTTTGATTGGAAAGCATGTTATGGAAGCAGAGCAAACAAGTATCCTCAGAGGTAATCCTAACGAAAAAAGTAAATATTTCATTTCTAAGATTTTATTATTATTTTGAGTTGGCATGGTAGTTGAAAATAATTTCATTTAATTTTTAGACAAAAACTCTTTGATAAATTCAATGCTGACAGGAGAGCAAAAGATGTCCGCTGAAGATATCGCTACGGTCATAATGGACATTCTTCTGATCGGAGTGAATACGGTAATAATTGTATCTGTAAAATGATTTACAAGACTATACAATCCAAATTAGAAAAAAGAACTTATAGAAAACCCCTGAAAGCTTCATAAAATAGAAATCCTTATTACGACCAAATGGTACATTAAAAAAAAATACGCGCTGGGCTATAGAAATCATGAAACGTCATGTCGTAGAGAGAAATAGAACAGAATCAGATGGTTAGAATCGACGATTTCTTCCATCGTCTATGATTAAAAGCCACAACTTTTGTATAAATATTTTTTTTTTTTAGTTTTCCTTATAGATATAGGATGCCTATAGCTTTCCTAGTTTCCATTTATCTAATACAACACAATGTCATAACTTAAGTTTTTTGTAAGGCAAAGTGTGCTCATCAGAAGAGCGCTACAAATATATTTGATAGTTCGCTGTATTAACTACCAAGATAGATCTCTCTTGACTTTCGTTAAGTCTTATTTTTTTTCCTACAGCCGTAAAAAGGATGGTCTTACCTGGATTATAGAATTACATAGGGAGAAACCACGTGGGCCTAAAGCAGAATGTTAAAAAATACTTACACTCTCAAAATATTGCAGATAACTTCTTCGACGTCGTTCCTCATGTACCATCTCGCAAAATATCAAATGGCTCAGAAGACGCTGTACGATGAAGTGAGAACTTTGCACATAGACCTGAGTGATGTCAGTTACATCAAAGCCAAGACTCCTTACTTGCAAGCGTGCATTAAGGAGAATCTCAGGTGATTGTGATACTAAATATGTTCCGATGCACGAAAGATTGGACTCAATTATCTTAAAATATTTTTTTAAAATAATGTCTATAAAGAATGAAAAGGAGAAACTGTTGTAAAAATTTTAGAGAATCAGGCCCATTTTGCTACCAATTTTTTTATACTTTAAACATAGTGATTGTGTCAATTAAACTATCCATCCACAGGTTGGTTCCTCCGATTCCGATCCTGACCCGTATTTTGCCGAGAAACATAATATTAGACCGCTACAAGTAAGTAAAGAAACTTACTCTTTCTGCGTAGGATTACACGATTAAGCTCCCGGTTTTATTTATATACCCAATGTTATTTTGCAGCATTCCTCGTGGCACTTTAATTATAATGTCTACGCAAGACGCGGCGCTCAAAGAAAGCAATTACGACGATGCCACCAAGTTTAAACCCGAAAGGTGGCTAAAGGGTGATTCTAAGTATTACCACGCCTTTGCCTCCATACCCTTCGGTTATGGCGCTAGGAAATGCCTGGGGCAGAACATTGCTGAGACTATGATGACGCTTTTGACTGTCAAGGTATCAAACGATTTTGTTAACGTTAACATTATACAAGATGATATACGTATATATAGATGAGATGTTACCCAGAGAGCATGGAAACGCAATTCTACACTTGCCACCGTGCTGTAAACATATCACACCTTTTGATTCCTTAAAGTTCATCCATCATATTTACAATAAAGGCAACAACAACTTTGATTACCTTTACTAAGTTTTCTGAGCTGCTACTTTTAATTCATTTCAATCCCGCAAGAGACGAATAATTTAGAATGTTTTCAGATATTCTTAGTAATATGTAGCTTTGATTACCTTTGTGACATTAACAATTTAATTTCTCAGACAATGCAAAAATTCAAACTGGAATACCACTACGGAGACATCCACCCCACAAGAACTTTCATCGCTAAGCCTAATAAACCTCTTAAAGTAAGATTTATCGACAGAATGTAATTGGATTCGATGGATTGTTTCTAAAACCATAGGTAAAAAAGTGTTTACATTTCTGCGTTAAGTTGTTTTAGTGTCGCAATATTTTTAAATTAAAAGATTGTGTTATAAAACATATTTTGTTTTCTTTATTATCCTGTTGTTTTTGATCCAGGCATTACAGTCCCCCATGTGCATGAGCGATATGGTATGAGATAATAGTTATTTATACAACTGTTGGCGAAGCAGAGTGATAATAGTATCATACATAATGTTAAAAACTAATTATAAACAGTATTGCATAGAAGACTTTATCTACACTATAGTCCAGGAAAAGAAGCATTTTGGCTCGCAATTTTTTCGTCCACCATGGATTTACTTGAAATTTTCACAGAAGGTAGGGAATAGCTCGAGGATCATTTTCTATATCATGCCGCTGTACGCTAGAGCCTTGGGGGTGGTTGCCACCCCATCTCGGGGTGGATTTTTTTTTATTACATGTTAACTATAGGAATCGACGGAAAAAGTAATCCTAAGAAAAAAATATATACGTATTTTCGTAAAATTTTCAAATTTGAATAACTCAAAAAATATTAGACTTGACGAAGAAATCGACTTTTTTAAATGGTTTTTTGCAAATAACTCTAAAAATATACATTTTAAATACTCCCAATTTAAAAATTAAGGGATCTCAAGTAATTTTATTCACACATAGTCTTATAGCTCCTGAAAAGCCCTACAAAATAGTTTGTGAAAAAAAAATCTATGACCTAAAATGAAGGAGCTACGATATTTTTTTTTCGAAAAATTGTAATTACCCGCTTTGGAGCTAGTTTTTAACAAGGGTAGGTAGAAAGATTATGAAATTGTATCCTAAAGCAAATTCAAATTGGATGTATAGTACAACTCTTTTGAATCGTCCAAAAATTTTTTTTCCCTACCACTCCTTATGGACATATTTTTTAGCTGCGGAGAAAAACGAGCGAAAAAAACTACACAACATTACATTTACAAATCATTATTTTGTTACAACGTCAATACAATTATGATTTATTTAATATAGAAAACCTGTTGGAATGATTGGAACAGTTCAAACCCAAGCATTTTTGTCTGTAATATAATCAGACACTTTGTAATAAGCTTTTTTAATAAGCGTTTTTTTTGTGAGCGTCAGAATGGCCTATTGATAAAGAATTGATAAAGAGTTATTATCAATTGAGCGTTCAGACATTATTTTAAAACTGTACTGTACTGTACCTGTTGGAATGATTGGAACAGTTCAAACCCAAGCATTTTTTTCTGTAATATCGAGGCCTTACCGCCAAATTATCGTAAGCGACACTCGCCAAATTATCGTAAGCGACACTTTGTCGAAATGCGTTTTTTGTGGAAACTAATATTTTAAACCGTAACGGACCCATCTCTGTTGATATTTCCCTCCAAAAGAACACCGTTATAATATAATAGAGGGAAATATCAACAGAGATGGGTCCGTTACGGTTTAAAATATTAGTTTCCACAAAAAACGCATTTCGACAAAAGTGTCGCTTACGATAATTTGGCGGTAAGGGCTCGATATAATCAGACACTTTGTAATAAGCTTTTTTAATAAGTGCTTTTTTATAATATCTTTAAATTTATTTATGGCTAACTCTTGGATATTGCTTGGGACTTTATTGTTTAAGCGAACACAAAGACCTTTAAATGAATTATTAATTTGTGAAGCTTAGTAGTAGGTAAAGTTAGTTTATTTTTGTTTCTTGTATTAATTGTGTGAACATCACTGTTTTTAAGAAACAAATTAATATTTTTTCTTAGTGAAACAATCATTATTTAACTATTTTTACCCATATTTAAGTTTTTAATGTTATTTTATAATTTTTGACAATAAGGGGTAGTTTTCACCTCTAAAAATCAAAAAGCGTACAACGGCACAATATAGAAAATGAACTAGAGGGTGAAATAAGCCTAATCCCAAATTTTTGTACAAATCGGTGCTGGACGAAAAAATTGCGAGGTTTTACCATTTTTTTTAGCTTCATTTCCTGGACTACTTCACAATTCTCTATAAATAGTTCTGAAACCACCTTGTGAAAGGAACCCTCCAGTAGCTCCTATTCAAAAGACAGATGATTTGGCAGCGACCAAAGTCATGACAGTTTATTAAAATGTTTTTGCTGCCCTAGACGTTCGGCCCTGCAAATGGGTTCAGGTAAGCAGAAAAAATTCACAGTATGTTGGATTTATATAAAAGTAATCAATGTTCTTATGACGTCCTATAGCGAAGTAGTCATGAATATGATTGTTTTTCACATGTAGCATCATCTATACTTATAATAAATCTGTAGAGAGGTCAATTCTGTACATGAAATATATTTTCAAAATAACTATCAGGGGGTGATTAGTGATCGATAAGGGGTAGTTTTCACCTCTAAAAATCAAAAAGCGTACAACGGCACAATATAGAAAATGAACTAGAGGGTGAAATAAGCCTAATCCCAAATTTTTGTACAAATCGGTGCTGGACGAAAAAATTGCGAGGTTTTACCATTTTTTTTAGCTTCATTTCCTGGACTACTTCACAATTCTCTATAAATAGTTCTGAAACCACCTTGTGAAAAAGAACCCTCCAGTAGCTCCTATTCAAAAGACAGATGATTTGGCAGCGACCAAAGTCATGACAGTTTATTAAAATGTTTTTGCTGCCCTAGACGTTCGGCCCTGCAAATGGGTTCAGGTAAGCAGAAAAAATTCACAGTATGTTGGATTTATATAAAAGTAATCAATGTTCTTATGACGTCCTATAGCGAAGTAGTCATGAATATGATTGTTTTTCACATGTAGCATCATCTATACTTATAATAAATCTGTAGAGAGGTCAATTCTGTACATGAAATATATTTTCAAAATAACTATCAGGGGGTGATTAGTGATCGATACTGATGCCAAAAATGCCATCAGTAAAATTTTTGTCTGTGTGTATGTTCCTTATAGAAACAAAAACTACTTGACGGATTTTAACGAAACTTGGTACAATTACCATTTTTTTTATTTAAATTTTTTAATTACTTTGCATGTTTTTTTGAAGTATAGTTAAACACAATGATTCAAACAGTGTCAAGGTTACTCTCACTGAATGTAATACACTATTAGCAATACTTGAGTTTTTGATTTATAATATGTGGATAATGTTGTGGTTTACAATATTACCTTGAATTTTAACTGTACTATGTAGGTACCATATACAATAGTCTAAGTCTTTTTGATCACATTGTAACCATCTTTAATTCCTTAATGAATAATTAAATAAATAAAAGGGATGACAACTAACTTTTTTTTCTTCATTTATCAGGTAGATTATCTAAAGAATTGGAGAAGTAATATTATATCATACAATCAAAACATTTTACAGATATATTAATTTTAATTGCCACATGATGGTAAATTTTTTACTTAGCTTTGAATTCACAAGCCCACACTTCCAAACTTAGATGTGCTTATCATTGCCATTTTTGGTCCATTATATTTTGATAATCGTAACTGACGGACTACATAGAATGTTGTTTACTTTACGCTGTCGATATCCCAAATATTTCTAAAGCATACTGACTCCAGTGTTGCTCTATGACGGAGCTTCCTTCTTTTATTGATTATTAAAGCTTAAGTGTTACATAATAAAACTTTACTCTCTAATTATAGCACATTTATTATTACTTATAACTTATATACCAAAATCAAATTTAACAAATGATATTAAATAAAACTGTAGATAACTACCTTTGTCGTCTTGAGGTGAATATATTTAAATATTTTCCTCTTGTCATTTCTTTGGCTTCTTCCAATCCTAACTGATAAGCGACATCATGTAATTTCTTCACCTCCATAATAAGTCCACTTGTAGGTAATGAACTTAATTCTGTAAGAAAAGAGATGGCTCAATTAAGTGGTAGGAACAAACAATGCTTAGAAATATGTATCACTTAACTATTATATTTACATTATCAAGTTTGCATAGTATAAAATTGGCTTAGTTCGAGACTAAATAATTGGTCAGTTGTTTAGCGCATTTATTATCTTTTGTAATTAACTTAAATCAGAACGTCCCTTAGATGAGACACCTTTTAGTGGGATAGCATCATATTATTATTGATGCCCAAGTTATACCCTTCATTCCCTTCTGCCAAATTTCATACCATTGTGTAACTGTTTCAGCTTGATCTTAGTTATAAAATAAATAACCATCCAAATCGGTACTATTGCATTGTACAAAAAAAAATTACAAGGTTAAAATTGAACTATCAAGACACCCACAATGTATTATTTAATATATTTCACTCACGTTGCATGTAAGTATAGTCCTTTTTCGTGAACTCTATATTCCAGGCTGGAGGAGAGCCATCAGCGTTTTGTAACGGTGCAAACTCCGATACTCCTGGTACTGTGAAAGAGTCGGCCGATCGTGAGTTATCTTCGCGATTAGCAATATTATCAATTCCATCACCCATGTTAGCAAATTAAAGTTTTAAAACACATAAAAACGGTTAAAAACGGAATACCAATCACTACCGTGATCATGCAATGGTGGACGGAATGACAACATGAAAAGACAAATCGCGCGATTTTTGAAAATCACAATAGAAAATGTGTATTTTGAAAATAATAAACGACAAACACAGAGTTCGCCAGAAACACTTACTTTGCTCTGGCCAAAGTTCTGGTGAGGCTCGGTCTAACTTTTCCAGACTCAATAAGCTTTCTTCCAAGGATGTCAGCGGAATATCGTCAGATGTGGAATCCGATTTTGAGCCTGCAATATTATGTAGCTCACGTTAATTTACTCATTTATAAAATAATGCATTAGCAACACCTTCTTAAAATTCGCGAAAAACTTAAATATGACTGTGCTATGTGAATAGTTTCTTGTTATTTTTTAATGATTTACCTTCTTGCACAAAAGAATTCTGTTTCGCGGCCATTTTCCAAATTCAGAATATGACATTTTAAGTTTACACACAAAGTACAGATTATATAAATTATCATAGATATTGAAGTGTTTCTTTTCTACAACCCCAGATGGCAGCACTAAAATCTACTAATTTTAGTAGAAATGCGTTGTTTTGAAATCGCAACACGTAACTTTTTTTTCTGTCTTTCTTCCGGCTGCCAACTTCAGGCAAGGTGTGTACGCCACATGGTTTTTCTATGAAATAAACATTGAAAATAACTTTATAAACTTTTAAATCAGTGATCTGTACCTCAAGGTAAAGTGGCATTAGTGTTATGTTGAGATATGAGACTGAGAATTTAATCAGTGATAATTATTGCCACCATTGTTATGCACTGCAAATCCCTAGCGCCATGCGAATTAGTTTAGAAGTTACGGTCATATAAAAATTATTTCTACTCTTGTAAATGTGCCGCTAAAGTGCTATTTATCTTTAATGTTTTGTAATAAGTGTAGTTTTGTTTAACGGTAGTTTTATTATACGCTCCACCTAACCTCACTTTCTTGCTATCTCAACATCAGGTATTTAATTTTACAGATGCGTTCCGTTACATTGAAGGATGTTGAACAAGACAAGGTCGTTAAGACCGTCGCCGCTCATCTTAAAAAGTAAGTAATTATGAAACTAAAGGATCCTAATCAATAGGTATTACTCATAGCATAAGTGTATGGTAGATTTGTATGTTACAGTTCAGGTACCTACGAAAAATTTACAAGTAGGCCCGCAAATCTACATAGTTTCAATGAAAACAATTTCAATTATTTTAATTGTTTCTCAGTCTATATTAATTCATTACAGGACAGGCAAAGTGAAGGTTCCAGAACACATGGACCTGGTTAAAACTGCTCGTTTCAAGGAGCTGGCTCCTTATGACCCTGACTGGTTCTATGTACGTTGTGCTGCTGTCCTCCGCCACATCTACATCAGATCCCCAGTAGGAGTCAAGACCGTCACTAAAATCTTTGGTGGCCGCAAACGCAATGGTGTCACCCCATCACATTTTTGCAGGTAAAACGTTGATTTATTAGTTCTTCAATTGAAGATTATAATTATTTTTCTAGTTTTTCTAATTATCAACTAATAAAGTCAGTAAATCTAATAAATTCAAAGTAATCTTTATTCAAATTGGATGTACATCTATATTTTTTCTTCCCTACCACCAGATAAGGACATTTATTAAGCTCTAGAGAAAAACTGTCGAAAAAAAAAGTGTATAAGCCTCCTTTATCTGTTTCCACCTCTCTTTGTTGATGGAAACATCATCCATATTTTTCCCATAGCCATGCCATCCCATCCCATGTACAATGTCATTTGCCCATCTTTTTCTTTGCTTTCCCGCTCTTCTTTTTCCAGCTGGGCCACCTACTTATTAGGCTTTATTAATAAGAACTCTTTTAATACCTAGTATCTTTAAAATTATTGATACTTAAGTTTTGGGTATCGCTAGGGTTAGGGCTATTGTAGAAGCCAAAACAAATTCCTTTAAAGGAATTATTGATTTTGTGGTGCTTTGTAAATGGTACAGCTAATTTTTTTTTTCTAGTATTAAGCAAGCGTACTATTAATAGGATATACTGTAATATTTTTTTGAATATACATTAAGTTTTCATAAATGTATTGAGAAGCAACAGTCATTATATTGATTTCTTTAAATTTTTCTCTTAATTCAAGTAAGAGTCTAGTCTTGAGATTATAAATTGATCGAGCAGACTGCTTTTGCAGCACAAAAATTGATGTATAGTAGAACATTGATTATGTGAATAAATTGGGACAGACGGATAATCGAAAATATGGATAATCGGAAATAGACTGGTAATAAACTTTATTATGTTTAACAAACACAGTTCTACAATACTAGATACAATAATAGAGGCACATAGTAGCAAAAGAAAAACAAAAATAAGAACAGTAAAACATGTTGTGTCTTGCCTGTAGCTTTCAACCATAACAGTTGAAATATATCTGGACTCTAGTGAGTTCTAACTTGTAACAACAAAACAAACAAAAAAGACTTGGTTTAAATTTTTTATATTACGCTTAGGACCGATTCGGATAAATGGCGAATCTGTTAATTGGCATTCAGATAATCGGCGTTCTAATGTACTTAGATTTGTATTATAATATTAGGACTGGGTACTCTTATGAGGAAAAGATTTAGAGTATAGCAGATTCTATACTTGAATTAGAATGGAAGACTACATTAGAATAGGTCCCTTTTTGTAGTGTTGTATTTCTGTTGAGTTGTCGCATAGAATAGGGTTTCGGGTATAGGCAAGCAAAGTGAGAACTGAGTCCATTTATACTCTATTAGTGTTTATTCATCAATGTTGATGTGTCATATAAGACTGAATAGCTTTATGAAATAATTGTTTCTAGTAAACATATTTTTTTAATCTTATTCAGGGGAGCGGTTGACATATCCTCATGGATACCCTACAGCCTGTTGCAAGGTTATGTCAGACTCTTACCGACTAAAACCCGTAGGGACTGCCTCTGGCCGGAAAGGCCTCTAAGGCTACATCGGAAGCGATCGTCCCCCGAGGGAGGGAGAGCGACGCAACTGCCTTAGTTAAACACTAGAGCATATGCGCGAGAAAGACGGTGCGGCCCCCTAGTGAGGCACGCCAGAAGAACTGCAGAGGACCGCTCGTGAGTAGGGAGGTAGCGGGTCGCGGTTAATATTAACTATCGGGGAAGCTTACTTTGAAAGCTAACGCGTGCGCAATGCAAGTCTGCACCGATCAGCGGTAAAGTTGATCGACGCTTTTGTGACTCGTGTGGCCCGCGCCGGTAGAGAATCAGTTCCGAAACCGGCGCGCTTCACAGTTGTTGCTAGACTAATATGTACACAGGCCAACCTAAGCAGAACCTAGTCGGTGGGGTAAAACCGCAGAGAATGGATTATAAGATTAGAAATATCTAAAATTGGAAAGGCGATGTCGCGAATGCCGCAGCCGCGTTGAGGGCGCAAGCACTTTGTGTGTCTGCGTCCGCCTCGCGTTACAGCGGTGGAAGCTGCCAACGCGTCAAGTGGGCGCTGGTACGAATGATTAGCCAGCCTAGTGGCGGCTAACGGGATCATCTCTTGGAGAGCGGCATTAACAATTGAACCGGACAATTTTAATGTCCTAGCCAGGAGGGGAGTGATTTAGGGTGGGATCTAGATTTGGGGAAGTGTGAGTTCCTCCTATCGGTTGTGTGTTCTTGGTTCCTGTTATGTGATTAGCCCGAGTAAGATGATACATTCAATTTAAAAGTTATGTATTTCAAAATAACATCGACGCAACTACTAAATATGAATGAGCTTAAATTAAATAAAAAAGGGAAGATATGGCTATGACTCGAGTCCCAAAAGTGAGCCGCTTTTAAGTGTAACTACTTGATGATGGCTGACCATTACCATTGGCTATCAATTGAGCCACCATTGAGGCGGACGCGCCAATGGTGGCTCAAACCGCGTCTGTCACAACGCACGTATGAAGTAAGGTTGATGTATGTAGACAAACAAAAATAATTATTTAGAAAATAAAACGGATATAAAAAAAACACAATGAAATGTTTTCAACCGTATACAACCGCTGTTTTATGGGTGATCAGCGAAATAAGCGGTTATTATCCGCTGGCCGAAAACGATAACGACCGCCTTTACATCTATAATCGTGTCGAGCGGCTCGCGGCCTTATTTAAATATAATGCAACTGCGGAATTTTGTGAAATAGTTTTTTTTAAAGAGGAAAATTAGTCCTAATTTGTTTAGCAACCATATTTGCAATTGGACTCTCCTCATACTTAACATCAGGTGGACATGTATAATTTACGACATACTTAACATCAGGTGGACATGTATAATTTACGACATACTTAACATCAGGTGGACATGTATAATTTACGACATACTTAACATCAGGTGGACATGTATAATTTACGACATACAACAACAACAAAATTTAAAGTCCCTAAGGATTTACATTAAAATTTAGTATTTTATTTTACTTAGTATTTTGCTGTTTGGGTATTTTGAAAAGGCAAGATGCAACAATATTACTATCAAGAATAATTTTATTGGCATCACATACTATGATATATGTATGTTATTCACTCAGTGAAATAACACTGCACTGCCAATAATTATGATGGTACAATGTATATAGCATGTTGCAGACAAACGCAATTACTTACAAAGCTCTGGTTTTGCTTGACCTTATAATAAATTATGTATGAATATACCATGGATGGATGGAGGCGAAGCGAACAAATTCTTTTTTGCCAGCATTTATATATATATATATCTCGCATCGCCAGTATTATAACCATCTTAGCAGAACCATTACAAAAACTTGATAGTTGAATTTCAAATTATATTACATAGGCAACAATGTTTCAGTTTGAAATATTCCAGACATTATTAAGGTGTCTTCAGATTAGAGGTATCGCCGCGGCGCGAGCTATCTATCAGGTGTCGGATTTCTTACTGCTTGCAAGTGTGGATGTAATTTGATCACGGTTTTAGCGAGTAACGCACAATATCGAAAAGTGTGTATCCAGCCACAAAATTTCTTAAATAATAACTTCTCTGTAATTACAATTTTTATTATTTTTAAAGCATGTAACTGCTTGATGTTTAAATCTAAAGAAAATATAACTAGAAAAAATTGTCTCTGTAACTTATTTTTGTGCGCATATTTATAAGTTATTTTCTCTTCTATTGTAATTGGATTGGAAGTGTTTTGATGTTGGTTCAATCTGCTGCCTCATATTGTTTTAATTATTTACTGAGGCAGCCCTCACAGGATGCCACGCACGGCGAGCCTGTTTAAGGTCTCTACCTACTACACCGTTTCATAACATGACCGTATTAGGAACGTGTCAGGCAAAAAAATATTCTTTGTATAGAAAACTATGAGACGATGCTCATTAGACCGTTCCGACACCGACCAGCACCGTCGCGTGCCATGCACGGACAGTTAAGAATTGTCGGGGAGAATATTTTGCCGGTGCCGATACGCTCCGCGCATAGCACGCGACGTTGCAAAACCGATGCGCGCAGGCAACACAACGGTGACTATACGGGTTAGAACCGCGTATGATGACCGTTATATAGGCGTCTTAAACGCCGGAAGTACTGAAAGAACTTTTCGGAATCTTCAGCTAAGTGCTTATACAACGTCCAAAATTCTCCTTCAGTTTTTCGTTCTTTTATAGAATCGTAAATCCAGAAGCGTCGACTGGTTTTTTGATTCTGTTCTTCCTCGTCCAATATTATGGCAATAATTGCCAGTTGTCTAACAGTTAATCTTTTAATAGCCATACCAATTGTATTTAAAAGTTGATAGCACTCCGCAGACATCCATTCATTTCCGATACACATGTAAGAATGAAACGGATTCCTATCGATTTTGGTGGAGACGTCATACAAATTACGCAAAGGCAACATACGGGTTGCATACGGGCATCATACGGGGTGCTCTCCGGCAACATACGGGCATTATACGCCGTCGATCCGTTTCAGTGGGCATAGCAAGCCGTATCGTGTCACTTTCCGTGTTTGATACGGTCTTAGCACGTTCATGGTGTGAAATGGTGTAGTCGGTAGAGACCTTTACCCTGATGCTGTCTCGAATCCGTATGCACCTTTACAGGCATTATTTTAGAAGTAGGGGGAAATAATGGGATATGTATTCAAAACAGTTATGTTTTATATCCAATTATATACAGATTTGTAGGTCTTGATCATGCACCAAACTCTCTCTCTCAACTCATGAATCAGTTAGATTCACCTAAAACGTGTCCAGGATTGAATACTTTATTGCTGCATGATTAAGTCCCATTGTTTGTTCTAGCTGGTTTCTACATAATTTTAAAACAATAGATTTCAATTGATTGTGTTTAATTTCAGATCATCAGGCAGTATTGCTCGCAAAGCTCTGCAAGCTTTGGAGGCTCTCAAGTTGGTGGAGAGAGTACCCGACGGTGGCCGCATTCTCACCACACAGGGCAGGCGTGATTTGGACAGAATTGCTGCCCAGGTCCGCCTAAAGGCGAAGCAAGCTGCTAAACAGAATGTTATTGTTCTGTAAAGTTATTAAATAAAAACATCTAACAAAAGCTTTTATTTTTCTGTCCACATAAACAATTCCTTTTCTACAATTGGTCATAGATCAATAGGGGTGATGACGGGGTACAGTAAACGAAATTTTATTTAGTCCGTCAGTAATGGACACGTATTTTTTCTTTGGGCAATCAACCAAAAACTGACAAAATTATAGCGCGTCAATGTTTGCGAGTCCCTACTCGACTCGTGACGTCACTTTTTAGTGAATTTTCACTTAGAAGTGTACTCAAACGTGATATCATGCGACTTTTCAAATCAATATATCTCTGCAATGTTTATTATGTGAAAAAAGAAAAGAATACGTGTCCAATACTTTTTAATAATCTACCCGATAATAGAAGAAAAAAAAGTCATCATTCCTATTATATGGGCATGTTTACTTAATTAATAAAAATCGGGTTATTCATATAATTAATTGTTTATAAATTAATTTCTCTTGCAATTTTATCTAGAAATCTATTGGGATACTCTGACAGACTGACTTTTAATTCAGTTTTGTCGCCAATCACCCGGATAATTTTCATTTGTACTGATTGAATATGCATACAAGCAACTCTATCAGTCAGACGTACGGAAATAGTGATTTCATAGAAATTTAAACTATCAGTGATAAAGGCGCTTATTTATATCTACATCCCAGCAGGTTTTCAAAACTAAAACATTGTTTCTTAGGTTTTCACGCACATGACTCATTAAATATAACTAGTTTTTACGGGTTCCCGTAAAAACTAGTTTTATTTAAAACATTGTTTTTGTACATAGACAAAAAACCCATACACTTTGTCAGTCTGTCGTAATGAAGAAAGAAATCAGCGCCATCTACTGATTTAGTGTAGTGCAATTTACTATTAAATCACAATTTCCGTATGTCGGCTTTAAATTATAATAACTTATAGAGAATCCTAATTTGATATAAGGATTAAATGTTGCTTGCATGCTTAGTAAATCAGTACAAATCATAATTAACCGGGTGGTTGGTGACAAAACCTATTGAAACGGAAAATTAAACAGGCGACCATTAATCACTGCAGCAACTTTCTCTAGAGTTCGGACAACAGTGGTTTTTCTTACACAGAAATTGATGATCTTTCAGATGAGCATTAGTTTTTTCATATCGATCATAATAGATAGGTACCTCATTTTTGGGGGCCCTTATAATAGAGGGGTTTGCCGAGGCCATAAATTATTGGCAATAGAGTGCTATGACATAAATGAAAAAGCGCCAGATTATCCGATAAAATTTTGAAATAGGCGCTAACCACCCCAATAAAGCGCTATATCTAGCGCGCAAAGCGCTAAAATGGCAACACTGGACTCACCGCACGGTAAAGTGACCAAATAATCCCTCAGACCAAATAAAAAGTAAAGACGGAGTCTGCCGAACCAAAAAGTGAAGCCGGTTTTTTATGTATGTAGTGCATTAGCCAGTGTTACCATAGTCATATAAAACACCCCAATATTAGAAAAATGTAATAACGTTATTTCATAACGTTATTACATTTTTAATGATAATTTTATTAATAACGTTATAAAATATTAGAAAAAAATATCGTAAGCTTATTCTCTAAACCTCTCGTGAGCCAAAGGTCATGCGCCGTTCTCACCTACAAGTGCCGGACTTCTTTATGGACCGCCCGCCCGCTGGGTGGGAACGATTGCATTGTTCTGCCGATTTCTCTGTTATTTTGTAAAAATACCCTTCACAAACGTATATTTGGATTCTCCATAAAATTTTCAATAAAACAGTGTGTACACAATGCGTCATGTCTATAATTTATTTTAATTACATTATGGTAAACTCAGGAAAGATAAAAAAAAGTCGTTTAAATAGGTAAAATGAGGTGTATTTTCAAAATTTGTAAATTATAAATCCAGGTTTTTGTACATATAGAATGTACTATATATGAATGAATGTATATAATAACTTACCAAATACAATTATAAAATATAACACGCAACAGAAAAAAAGGGTCGTGTTTCAAGTGTTGATAAAAACAAATGCGAGATCCAAGTGCCTTGATTTATGTGTTGACGTTTAATTATGTTGGATTGTTTATTTTACTTTAGTTACAAGTCTCGATGGAATAGGTTTATTCATTTTATAGTTTCAAGCACTCGCAACAAGGCACTTGAATTCGCTTACAAATCAGTCATCTCAACTTTATGTCGATAAAACGAAAAGCATATACAAATGTTGATAAACAGTTTCTTTTATTAAAATGTACATGAAATTTTCTATAGAATACACAAAATATAATCACTAGTTCCTATACAAGAACATAATAAAATAAATCCACAAACATCGCGAATTTTGGGTCAAAAAGGCCATTAAAAAGTACAATACAAATAAAATTACAAATATATTATTATTTTACAAATCGTCGCTCTGAAAATGAGTCGAACAAACCACGCTGCGGGAAGCTGGTTGTCACAATGGTGCATTTCTACTCTTACGAATGACTGCAATCCACTTCTCTTTTAGATCTTGATCTCGATTAGGAAATCTTAAAAAGAACGTATATTAAATAATGTGTATTACATCCCAAAAAATTTATACGAATACATAAAGAAAAAAGATGTTTCGTGTAATTGTTTATCCATGCATTACAATATTCGAATAATATAAAAGTATGCCACACAATGTATTTAATAAAATAACGTTACGTTATATTTCCCGCTACCCAACAAAAGGGTAAAACTGTAACGAATAATCATGGCAACATTTCGTTCAGGTTTTGTTTACAAAGCGACAACCTCAAATTTGATTAATTGAAAATAGCAGTTTATAACTTTACTTACGTATGAAATGTGATTCCATCCTGTTTTTTATTCTTGGAAGATTGGTTTTTACACGTTTTCACAACACAATTCGGCATTTTCTCTAATAAATATTGTTATTTATTATTACGTCACACTCCGCGCGTCGGGATAGCTCGACTGAGAAGCCAAGGCGTACAGTGCTGCCAACTCCAAAAAATATTTCATGCTAAATCGACATTAAAAAAATGCCAAAAATATGCTAAATTTTAAAAAAGATGCCAAAATATAATGCTAACCACTAATGTCCATTACCGATATTTGTTATATAAGATTGTAACTATGTATTGTACTACACGGTGTAGTAGTGGTAATTTTGTATTGTTCTGTTTCTAATATTATTTTAACCATGATAAATATACTCAGCATAAACGTTCGGAGTGGGAATTAATGATAGAATTTAAAGAATGGCTGTATAACTATTTGTTTCTTAGGTTTTGTATTTGTATAACTAATCAACATTAAACTTAATATATCTTTTATAATTGTATTGTTACTAATTGACACTAATATTTTATCAATACATTTACACGTGTAGTCTACACGTGTAAATGTATTGTTTGTTTGCTAGCCAGCCAACAAACTAATATGATAATTAATGATTATCTTGTTAGTTAGTTGGCTTAATCATAAAATAACAATTCATTAATTCATTCATCTGTTTTTCAATTCGGGGATTCTCGCATAGTAAACGAGCGACGCATAGACTAATTAAAATAGTTTTTGAACGACAGTGAAGTAGCAACTAGTGTGATATTTTTTTATCGTTAATGGCTGAACAACAAAAAATTGATAAAACAGTGCGCCGATTGGAGAGCGGTCACGGCAAAAATTTAAACGTAATTTAATAACGTAGCATTTCATTTGTATTAAGTTAACAAGACAATATGCTAAAAAATATGCTTCATGCTAAAATGATTTTTTTAAAGCTAAATCACTTAAAAATATGCTAAATTTAGCCATAAATATGCTAAATTGGCAGCACTGAAGGCGTAGTTTCGTTGCATGTGTGTGCGTGTAACTGTGTATGTACACGGCGAGGCGTAGTTTTATCGGCTTCACTTTTTGGTTCGGCAGACTCTGTCTATACTTTTTATTTGGTCTGAGAATAATCCCTAATTCATACGAAAAGAGTCGATAATAAACGAAGCTGATCAGACCAAGTTACCTACATAGTTTACTGTAACAAGATTGTAATTGAAGATTGTATTTGTAACACATTAATTATTAATTCTTGTATGTTTACAAAACTAAGGAAAAGTATTTTGCATTTTGCAAATACAAAATATGTCCTAAAAGGTTCAAATAAAATATAAAATGCTTTTTTAAAAAAAGTATTTAAATACAAAATGGAAATAGGTATTTTCCATTTTGTATTTTGCATTTTAAATTCCTTTTTTTTTTTAAATATCACATCTCTGCTTGCAGCACTGCATATTCGTGTAGTCTTACCCCTGCCCCTATATTGAGGAACAAATGAAACCTGGGAGGGAGCCTTAGCATACTAGGTTAAGTGTCGTGGGCTCTCGTACTAGACAGAAATATATTTATTTTACGTGTTGTCTTGTGATGCGATCGGTTTCACAAATTAAGTAATGATAGAACACAGAAAAGAAAAAAAAAGGAGTAGAAGTAGCATCATATCGTTTCATACGTAGAAAAAAATCCACTCGGACCAGGCAGCAGACGGGACTCGAACTCGCACCCTTCGCAATCCGGGCAAATGCACAGACAAAAAGTACTGGGGTAAAGTGATGAGATGGCTAATACTTTGAACGCACCTTTATTCTCAGTCGAACGCGACTCTGTGGAAAGCGCACTGACAGTCCGACTGTCACAAGGACAGTCGGTAAAATAGCGGCGAGGCGGCGGCGAATGATTGTTTGTTTATAGTTGGTTTTGTGACTTGCTCAGTGGTTAAGTGCTTACGCTCATTTTACCACTTTATTTCAAATATCATTGAAATAATAACAATGGATATTGATATCGTGAAGGATGTTGATCAACCTTTAGGCTATAATGAATCTGAAAAAGATGCCAGTGCCACATGTGTCGCTGAGGAAAGTGCTTATCAGTACCCCGCTTTGTTTACCAGCAAAACTTTGCTTGAACTATGCAGTTCCTCTTGGTCTCGTTCGCAAAAGGCACAAGATGATATTCAACCTTACCTCCGAGGTTGTAAATGGTCTCCCGATGGTACTTGTTGCTTATCGGTTGTGAACAATGATGGAGTGCATTTGACTGAGTTACCTCGAGATTTATATTCCAATAGCCCTGCACCGAACCGAACTATAGATATATTAGACTCGATAGTACACATAAAAGAAGCTGGTTTAGTATATGATTATTGTTGGTATCCTGGAATGAATAGTAATTTACCTGAATCGTGTTGGTAAGTTGAAATTGCTAGAATAATTATTGAAGTTATACTTCTTTAGGCGCGTTATGAAAAAATTATGAGAGTGAAATTTTAAGATGCGCGCGCATCACTGTAACACAAAATTTTAACAGCATGAAGTTGGTCGCTTTAGCGTTACTTTTGTGTTTACCGCACATTAAGAAAATCTACCAACAAAATAGAAATATAATCTCTATTTAGTGGGTGCTAACGACTGCATTGTGAAGGCCTATCAAAAGTATTTATTAATCTGGAACAACGGAACCAAAGCGCAATTCAGGAGACTACAGCGCCATCTCTTGACCATTGGTGTAGTAGAACCAAAAACTATATCTTTATTTTTTGTAATAAAGTAACAGTTATAGGTATTCATATTTATAATATCAAAAGTATTTATTAATCTGGAACAACGGAACCAAAGCGCGATTCAGGAGACTACAGCGCCATCTCTTGACCATTGGTGTAGTAGAACCAAAAACCACATCTTTATTTTTTGTAATAAAGTAACAGTTATAGGTATTCATATTTATAATATTTATCCACATGTTTCTAGTTGAAGTTATACTTCTTTAGGCGCGTTATGAAAAAATGATGAGAGTGAAATTTTTAGATGCGCGCGAATCACTGTAACACAAAATTTTAATAAGTGTACTTATGTAGGCGCACCCATTTTTTTTATTTTTTTATTTTTTACTGTGAAAACTAGTTTTAATCTTATATTTTTATTTTCAGTTGGATAACAACTAAACAGAATTCTCCTATACAAATGTGGGATGCATTTGATGGATCATTAAGATGTACTTACAGGGGATTTAATGCTGTGGATGAAATGGAGCCTGCTTTATCTGTCACATTTAGTCAAGAAGGCTCCAGAATCATAGCAGGTTACAAGAAGGTTATAAGAACATTTGATGTTGATAGGTAATTTATATAAAACAGGTGCCTTTAAAAAAAATGTTTCTATGCTAATTTTGGTTATCGAAATTGCCAATCAAATTCTGATGCTGATATAGAAACCAGCATTTTTGAATAAAATATTTGTGATTGTATTTCTAGAATCCTGATAAATAATTTGTGATTAAAGTTGTCCAAAGCATAACTTGAGCATCTTCCATTCCAGAATTAGGTACTATGTTTATTTTTACAGAAAGGTTTATGTAATGCACAATTGATAATTTTAATTCAGGCGGGACACTAAGAAAGCTACAATAGTCTGAACTATTGTCAAGTTTACAAGTAGCAAACACAAATAGCCAAGTAAAGAGCCAACATTACACAAATATGTTAGTCTGATCTTAGTTTAAAAAATAGTCTGTCATTTTTTATATTTATAAGGAGTTAAAAAGACCAGACTGATGTCAAGTTTGCAAATAGCAAACACAAATAGCCTAGTGAGTGACAGGATTAAATGGAAAATAACTGTTTTCTTGTTTGCAGGCCTGGTAGAGATTTTGCTGAGCATAAATTGGGAAGTCCTGCAACATGTTTTGCTACTGATAGTAATTTGCTTGCTGTAGGCTCATGGAACTCTACAATCAACTTATATAATGTCAATGAGATGGGTACATATAAAAGCATTGGCAAAATGCATGGTCATTCAGGTAAGATTGAGTATATTGATATTGTAAGGCCCACTTGCAGAAACTTTGCTAAATCTTGATTTAATGAAACAAAAATGATCTTGATTTAATGAAAATTTCAAAAAACCATGTCAATTTGACATTCTTTTATGGGATAAATTTAGTCTTAGTAAAATTGAAATATAGCAAAAATGCAAGTCAGCTTTAATTTCTTAATTGTTGATCTCAGATAATGGAAGGAAACAGAAGGAAGAGAGAACTATGCTTAATGGTACAATAAACTCTAAGAACTGATGTTGCTTATTGAAGTAACCATACTCGGAATTGACATTGGGTTGACATTGTGTGTAAAAACAGATGGGAGACATAAGTTTTGGTGTGGTTATAACAAGAATTAACTAAATTTAATTTAATTCTAATTTCTAAGAATTAAATTAAATTTAGTTAATTCTTGTTATAAAAATCCAAATTATGTTAGATTACTTTGGAAGGAAAGTAGTTATTGAAAATAAAAAAAAACACCCAGTCATATTAAATTCAGAGAATGTTAAAATTCAGGAATTTCTTGACCAAATTTTTGGATGGCCCTTTAATAACGTTTTATTTTAGTCCTCAACTGAATTTCCTGCTACATCTTGAGTTAGAATCACAATTTTTCACTAACTGTTCACACTAGAAATTCTTTGTATTTAACAGGTGGAGTAACTCATATGAAATTTACCCCAGATGGTATACGACTTGTATCTGGTGCCCGGAAAGATCACAGGTTACTCATATGGGATATAAGGTATTACAGGAGACCATTAAATATATTGACAAGGGCTGTGAATACCAATCAAAGGGTATATTTTGATATCTCTCCTTGTGGCAAATATTTGATAACAGGTGGTACTGATGGGGTGTTGAAAGTTTGGGATGTAGACCAAGTCGATTGGAAGAACAGTCTGGAAACCAATGAAGAAAATAGTGATGATGCCACTTATAAGGTTTGTATTTGTTTATCTTGAATGCATTAATGTATACATTTTTGATGAACACAGACTGCTTTTATACAAAACGTGGACTTAATTTAGGTCCAGTAATTGAATGCTGTCTCTGTCTTCTCGCTAGCAAACAGAAGTGACAGTATAATTGTTAAGACTCTCTGTCTTAACAACTTAACAAGTCAACTTTAGTCAACATTCTGTAATAAGGAGAGAAAGATTGGGAAATAAATAAATAGTGTAGTGCGATAGCGATCTTTACGGATGTGGCGAAAATTGGAACTATCGCCGCCGTATTTGTAAATGTCATATTTGTATGTCATTAAATAGAATTCCTTTTTGGCTAATGTGCCTTTCTTCTGGGACCCATCTGCCAGCATCCTGTACTGAAATCATCGAAATCGCAGCATCGATTTGTCAGTGACTTTCTGGAAAGCATGTACATATATATTAGTTTTGGAAAAGGGAATATGAAGATAGGAGCTGCTTCCCTTTTTGTTTCTTTTTTTTAACTACACTGTTTTATAAATTACTAGTGGCCCGCCCTCGCTTCGCTTCGGTGTAGAGCTGTAGTGTAAACTATAGTTTTTGTTCTCAGGCTTGTGCTATAAACAATGACTATTTATATAATTACACGTGTTATTGTGAGTCAACCATAAAAGATAGACATATGCTGTTGCGGGATATTTTTTAGACAATTTTATGTAGAATATTTCCGTCATACATGATTTCTATGTAACTTTAACCATTAAGGCTGCACACGCGACGGAAGCTTAAAAAATGGAGTGACTTCTCCCGTTTTCCCAACATTTCCCTTCACTACTCTGCTGCTATTGATTGTAGCGTGATGAAAAGTATACTATAACCTGCCCAGGAGTATGAAGAATAATTGTACCAAGTTTCGTTAAAATCCGTCGAGTAGTTTTTGTTTCTATAAGGAACATACACACAGACAGACAGACAAGACAAAAAATTTACTGATTGCATTTTTGTCATCAGTATCGATCACTAATCACCCCCTGATAGTTATTTTGAAAATATATTTCATGTAAAGAATTGACCTCTCTACAGATTTAATATAAGTATAGATTATTGTTATATTAAAAGGAGTTATGAGGAATTTAGAATCAGTTGTAGTTACAGTATCACAGTTTAATATTATTATCGTAAATAAATTGCCATAAGGTATCGAAAGTTTATGGGACCAGCGGTACCTTCATTTTACCAACTCGCTATAGAGATTGAAAGATTTTCGATTTTTTGCGCAAGAGAAAAATATATGGTCTATTGTACCCTCATGAAGCCCACATTCGCACAATGAATTGTCTCGAATATGGAGCTTATGGAAGAATACCCGGGAACAGCAGTGACCGAGGCGTAATCTTGATAAAACTGATATAACTTGTTTAGCAAAAAGTTCTTACTTTTGTAAAACCACCAACAATTTACGTAGAATGTGGCGCCCTGTCTGAACTATCACTCACATTCATGAAGATCCTTGTCGCACTGTAATCATAATTTGTTTCAGTTTGCTCTACATAACGATTGCTGTAATAGCATATCTATTCATCCATTGAGGCCTATATTAGCAACAGGATCGGGACAGTTCCACTTCAGAGACCCAATGACGGGATTAGAAGGCGCTGACGTTTCCCTACAATCGAATGGAATGGCCATAGACAACATAACTAATGAAGTTGACACAGATGAGAATGACTTACGATATTCGTGTGAAGCAGAGAACAGTCTAGTCTTTTGGTGGATAGGAGATATTGTTACAGAAGAAAATGTTTTGACTGCAAATGTTGATAGCTAATAATAGTTATTTATTATACAAGAGTGGAAAGTTCCTTTTTAACCGCGTGCTCGATTTGGATGACCGAGCAAGCGAAGGATTCTAAAGTTGAATCACGAGCGCAGCGAGTGATTCTAAATTAGAATCCTGAGCGTCAGCGAGGGAAACAAACGAGCACAAGGTGAAAAATCTTTCCACTCGAGTGCAATACGTAACTTTTCATCCCACCTCAGCGAGGAAATGACAAAATGAAAAAGAAAACAATTTATAATGACAAAATATTTAAGCAATAAAACGTGAAAAACTAGAATGGCGCGAAGCACGCAAATAAAACAAAGAAACCAAGAAGGTTCCAAATTTAAATTTTTTCACAATTTAAAAAGTTCTAATCATAAATTTGGCACCATAGAGGTTACATTAAATAGGTTTAATGACGTTTTGAATTTACAATTATATTGAGTACTCATTATATGTGATGTTCTAAATTCAAATCTACTTTGCCGCTCAAGCGAATAAAATAGAATTTTCCAGCCAGATTTCGAAGCGCAAAATTACACTTTCCGAGGTGGTGGGATGAAAAATATATTATTTTTACATTGAGTTATTGTTTACTTTCAAATTTGTCTTTAAAAATATAGGTAATGTTATTTTATGATAAAAATAATCATTAATGGTTTTTACTTTGAAGAGCTCGATGGCGCAACTGGTCAGCGCGTTCAGCTGCGATCGTTGAAGTTGAGCAACTTTCGCAGTGGTCGGTCATTAGATGGGTGACCAAAAATTTACTACTCGACATAGTAGTAGCTCCTCCGTGCTTCGGAAGGCACGTTAAGCCGTTGGTCCCTGCTGCATCTGCAGTCGTTAGCACCCACCTGTCCGCACTGGGCCCGTATGGTAAGTCATGGCCCAATCTCACTATTCCATCCATAGAGAAGGTCTGTGCTCCAGCAGTAGGGATATTAATAGGCTTGTGGCGGCGACATCTATATGCCCCACAATTAGACAACGGATGGAGGAAATCATTACTCACCATCCTCAAGAGATGGCGTTACCTGCACTGCGATCAATAATAGTATGGAAGCCTAGTGTAGGAAGGCCAAAGGGGAAGATCTTCCTCCGAGCTGGGTGATAGTAGCTCTCGGGCCGCGGCCCCCGAGCTTCCTATTACTATTCCGAAAGACATTTTACTAAATTATTTAAACATTTTAGGTACGAAACTGGGGTCACAATGGACTTAGGATTGTCCTTTACTTACCAAACCGTCCCTTTGGTGAGTTACTTAAGATGACCATAAATAATGCCGAGTGAAACAATCCTACTTACTGCGGGTGTAGTGGACCCAGTAATTACTCAGCTCATGTAATTAACATAAATGTCTAAAGTGCAACGACAAAGTCCCTCCAGGTGTTTACACCCAGAAAGAGTATGATGTGTAGAGAACGGCAACAATTATTTTTTATCACATCTTGTAACCATCCGGGTGGAGTGTGGTTTAGTGAAACGATAATACGCGTTTATATGATTATACTTTATTTCAAACTTAACGGTAGCACACGATCGCGGGAGAATCAAGGCACCGCGCGTGGCTTTACGTTATCGAGTCTCGGCCAATGACTTGAATCGCAGACGCGCATGCGTTGGCGCATGTGACGCTACCCGAAATGTCCCGTCGCGCGTCCCTTCAACGGTCAATATCTTTCCTTTGAGCCGGAGGGAGGCACATACACGCCACAATCTACCTATTAGAAAAGGTCTACGAGTAGCTTATTCTGTTTACAGAGATCAAAATAGCGTTTTAATGCCTAAGGACTTCAGAGAGGCGTGAAGAAATATTTTTGTAGGCCGGCAAGGTGAGGATGGTTGGTGTGGCATTTATAACTGCTGTACCAGCTATCTTCGCGTTTGGACTCTTTCACCATTTAACATCCGGTGGAGTAGAATCATTTGCCTACTTGGCTATAAAAAAAGTGATCTGAATTAAATTTCGTTAGTAAAAGTTCAAATGAGATCAATTACGAATATTTTATGAACAAGTCAGAGCGTAAACTGCATTTAAGCATGGATTTAACTGCTAGATGTTTTAATCTAAATAAAATATTACTAGAAGAAATTCCACGCGGACCAGGCAGCAGACGGGACTCGAACCCGCACCCTTACCATACTTTTTAATCTTACGCAAAATTACTATACTATTTTATTAAAACATTGATGACCTTAGTAAATAATAATTAGGTATCTATTAGGTGGAAGTGTACTACGGGGCGAGCCGGCGACCAGACCCGTCTTTCCCAGTGGGCATTTTGGGCAAGTTTTTTGAAAACTGCTTATTTTTAAAGTTTGGTACAAACGATTTAACAGAAAAATTAAAATGAATTAATTAATGTCTTGTTTTCTCCATTAGACCATTTAAAGTTGAATTTATTTTTATGGTTTTGAATTTACCGCCGAAACGTTCAGTTCGAGGACGTCTACTGTGTGACGTCAACTTTGTGACGTCATTTTGTGTATGCAATGTAACCATCTGAAGGTCAAATTATTAACTTTTTTTACGTTCGGGATAAATTTATAGTATAATACTTACACAAAATGTTTGATGTTTCGAAACTCTGAAGCACAGAAATCACGAGTAGCGAAGAAATTGGCTCAGTATTATACTATAAATTTATGAAATACCTACATAAAAAAAGTTAATAATTTGACCTTCACATGATTACATGGCATACATAAAGTTGACGTCACACAATAAACGTCCTCGAACCGAGCGTTTTGGTGGTTAATTCAAAACCATTAAAAATAAATTCAACTTTAATTGGTCTAATGGAGAAAAAAAGACATTAATTAATTAATTTTTATCTTTCTGTTAAATCGCCTGTCCCAATCTTTAAAGATAAGCTGTTTTCAAAATTTTGGAAAAATACCCTATTATTTAACGAAATTCGTAGATTCTAATGAATTGATAACACGGACTCATCGGCCAGATTTGTTCTATAGGTCAGTCCTTTCCCTTTAACTAAAGAAAACGATCAAAAAGAGATTGTATTTCAAATTAAAATGTTGTCTTGTCCTGCTTTTACAAACGACGCATTGAGCCAGCTCGGAGGCTTGTTTTATTTGTGTATGTCGTTCTCGGTCTTAACAGGCTATTTACATAATAGACCAGCCGTCCCACTTCAAGTTTGGGTCGCTTAGGAAGTTCAAACGGTGTCGTCTGTTGCTAATTTAATAGGCAGTTGTCTAAATTCGTTAGCTACCCTCCTCTGAGAACCGAAGGCCAAATTAGCGGGTTTAAATCCATATGTATTCGATATAAGCTGATCGGTGGATTCGATCTACCATACATTTGACTTCCTTATACGAGTACTTCCTTGTGCATAGGTATCTACCGATTGGATTATATAAGTCTACCATCTAACTTGTCTTGAAAGAAATTATACGATATGTTTCTTATCAAATATCTTGCTTAGATATATATTTTTACACGTGGATAGTCAGAGCAGAGGTGTTTTTAAGCAAAACACAGAAAATTATTTCACCTCAATTTTGATGTAAGATGTGTTGGAAAACGGATGTATTTTACGAAAGAAATCACACTTGAACAGAATTATTAAAGGACATCGACGAAATCGGCCCTAGCATGCCCAAAAGAATGTCCTTCACTATTATTTTTATATTATTTTTTTAACTTATTAGCAATTAATCATTGTAAACGGACAATCTGTTTAAGAAAATAAAAAATAAAAGTTCTGTTACTAGATACTACAGTCTGTTCATCCAACTTGGCACTCCTTTTTATTGAAAATACAGCATTAAAAATCAACTGATAACTAGATTCAATAGGTTTCAGTCTATAATAACGATTTATTTAAATAGTTTATTGGCTTCGTTAATATTTTATTATTAAACGGGTGATTCTGTTAAAAAGTTGTGTCAAGATTGTTTACCTTAATGAATGCAATATAGGCGACCATAGGTATTTATCAACATAAAAATAGAACTAGGTACCTTAGTCAATAATAGTTATTACTAGTATTTATATTATATTTATAAAAATATTATTTCTGAAATTATGTAAATATAGTTTATACTCCCATCCCATGTAATATCTGTTTATTTTTATGAAAATCATATTGATAACCAGGTACATACCTAATTACCGATAGTAAAATATAGAAACAGGTAAATGGAAAGACTGAACATTTCATTTGAAAAGAAATCTATTATTACCTACTACAGGTAGGTATAGGTATCATAGGTGCCAACTGACAACACTCATAAATCAATATGAATATAAGCATTTATTATTTTTATTATTAATTGCATTTTATGTTCATTTAATGCATATTATTTCAGTGCTTACATAGAGGCAAAAACTAAATCTATTCAGAATATATAAAGTGTACATCTTTTACGATTAAGTATAATAATTATAACCTCAAAATCTAATACATTCTGTAGTAGGCCACTGTTCCTCAAGTTGTCCGTATCTCAACAAATACTTAATTAGAGTTTATGAATGATTCCGAACACAACTAGCATTTTCTCATTGCTGGGCGTTATAGGGCATTCAATGTATGGGGAACGAGCAATGTCCTTTGATACAAAAAGAGAAAAACTTTAAACTGTTACATGGTACTAACAAAAGTTCGTAATTGACAAGCGAGTTTATAAAAAAGATAACAATAAACTACAAATATATATAGGTACTTATATAATATCATAAAGCCGCTTTTAACATCTTTCCCAGTTAAAAGCAACAGAACTCACTTCTTGCCGTTTAGTAGTTCAAATCAGTGACAGATTCTAGAGGATATACAGTTTAGTTACAGTTTCTGAATAAGTCTCAATTACATTCCCTTACTAGTGCGAACCCTTGCGATCCTCAATTAAAGATGTAAGTTCGATTACAGTTGCGAAAATAGCGCTCCAGAACTCACTTTACCGGCATTTGACGACCTCCGTGGAAGAGTGGTTTGTACGCCGGGTTTCATGGTGTCGCCGACTCGAGAGGTCGGTTCGAATCCCGG